GGGGGGGGGGGGGGAAGAAATCTTACCTGCTTTTAAAATAAAGGGGAAAAGATTCTCTTTAGAAAGGAGTTCAATTGCAATAATTACCTAGGCATGTACAGGACTCGTTCTGCCACCACAAAGCCCACCCTGAAGAATAGGTTGCTGGCTGGAATAAATGGGAAAACCAGGAACAACAGGCCAACCAAAACTTCTCTGTGCTCCAGTCTCTGCAACAACACAACAAACGTGTGTGAACAACAGAAAATTCAGCTCTAATCAACATTAAACTGCTCATTTCTCAGGTTCCTGTCCATGGCATGAAATTTTAATTTGATTAAATTTATCAACAGGTCACATTTTACGTAAATGCTATTCCATGCACCAATTCCTTTGAATTTATATATTGTCCATATATGGCATTTCTGGTATGTCCATAATGCATACAATGGATATCTGTGCAATTCAGACAATGCCCCCTGGTTATATTAGACTTGTCAAATTTTCAGAGGCCAATTTAATTGTACCTGGGTATTTTAAGCTGCCTATTAACTACTTCAACTACTACAATCTGTAATTAAAGTAACAAAATACATGTAATAGTGTGAATATGGATAAGGATATATACCCACATATTGTGCACACCAGGGCCAGCCCGTCCTATCCTGTGGAACTTGCGGCCCCGGGGGGCTCCACAGCCAAGGGGCTATGTCTTGTTCACCCCCCACTGCCTGCACCATGTTTAAAGGGCTTGATGCAGGCAAGAAAGAAACTTCTTCCAGCCGAGCGGGGGAGGAGTTCCCAGCTCCACTCCTGCCCTGGCCCCAGGCTTGGCCCCGGCCCCAGGGAGGAAACCCAGGTGTCCACAACACATGCTGCCCCCACCCCGCACCCCGCTCAGTGCAGCTCGCACGTGTGCAGCCCAGCCCCGACTATTTTATTTCAGTGAGTTTATACCACAATTAACCGCAATTTTGATTTTTCAATGGATCCAGGGGCCCCAAAACTATACCTTGCGGGGGGCCAAAAAAATTGTGAGCTGGTGCACACACATTCTTATATTCGTTCTTAAATCTTTACAGCTGAGAACCGACAGCAAAACGTTTTGTATAAATGTAATCAACCAAATCTCCACATAAATATAGTAATTTCATTCCTTAGAAGACACCATTTAAAATTTAAATTATGCTTTCTCATACATTATGGCTATATCCAAATTTAAAACTTAGGCCCACTGCACATCACTATCAATGTCTTTGAGTTTGATGGCTGTTTAACATTAGTTTGCTCTGCGAGGAAAAAATGAAATTGTCATATACAGTTTCTTCAAAACAACTGTGATTTGCAGAGCTGCTCCAAAAATCTCGAGACTTCATGAACCATGGCCTCAATCCTTTACAGACACGGGGTAACTCAGTTCCTCCTTCAGCTCAAGTCCAATGAGCTGAATCAGTTTGTGATGTCTGCTGTTGTTCCCTTTTTATTGATGTCTACACCATGCTGGACCAGGCTAACAAGTGTAGCCTTGAAAACACACCTTGCCTTCTCACCCCCGCACTTCATGGGCCAAATGTTAAAAGACTTTAATGTAATTGCCATTAAAGCAGTACTAGTGTGCTCAGAATTACTAATATGTGTGCCTGAGAGTGAGATAAGCACAGGGCATGTGCCAAAATTGCTATGTTACTATTTTTGGCATCTGACACGCATGGGAGGAGAGAATGGGTGGGGTGTGCTTTCACAGTGGTGCTCTTTAGAAGAGTTTGATACTATATGGACATGCCCCAAGGATCACATTTATCTAAACAAACTTTCTTTATTTAAAAACCTGAAATTTTAGGCTTAGTTAGAAGAAATAACAGTATTTAATTTATTACATTTCCCAGCCAGATAATTGGGCTACCTTTTACCGGGCCAATAATGCCATAGCTGAATCAGTTAGTGGTGAACACGTTGAAATGCAGAAGGATTCGTTTTGAGCAGCCTACCTTTCTAACATTTAGAAGCAGATACAAAATTGAATCACTTTATCTTTTTTTGTTTTTCTAATCACTTTGGGTGATCTCTCAACTTTAGTTAACAAAACTTGCTTTATAAAGCTTTAACTGAAGCCATAACTAACACAGTCCAATAAAACCCCTAAGGCCAGCTTCTGCTCTCATTTACACCACCACAACCTGCCTTGGCATTGTACTCAGGTAACAGATATTGGCCAAAAGTGTATTTGTAATAGTAGATTGACTCATGTCTATGGTCTAAATATGTTGATTGGGTATATAACAATGGTACTGCGCACAAGGATCAGGTAGAGACATTATACTTTTACTGGTATAAGTGATTGGAAACTGGTCTGTGCCCATTTCAGAACAAAAGTTCAGCACACAAAACCAGTCTATACCTGTAACAGAACAGAAGTTTGGTGCACAGACTGGTTTAAAAATGGTAAAACCCAGTTTAAGATTTGCCTCTCCCCCACACCCAATCTAAACTACACTGCTTACGGAAAACCGTGCAACTTAGATCAATTTGGCCTTGGATTTTTCAAATATCTTTATCTAGCTAAGCTGACTGCAATGGCACCCTCTCTCATGTCCCTGAACTCCCATACATAGCAATGTTGTTGAGTAGTAATAATCATCATATCAAGCACAAGACTTGTTCAGAGAACATCAATCCATCAAGCTGGTTGGTGAGGGAAGAGATGTTACGCAAGAACATGGTGATATCCAAAGTTAAAATTATTGCTGGTAAAAGCCATCTGTTCAGGACAGACATAAAACACACCAAAAATAAGAAGCATGCCGAATGAAAACAGGGTTGGACCCACAACTTGGTTAGGCTGAACTGGAAAATCTAAATCTCAGCTCTGTATTATCACAGCACCTTGTGCCTTTAGTCCCCCTGGGAAAGAGTAGCAGAACAACCCTATTAGAAGGGCACAGCACATATGCCCAAGAGGATGGTAACACTAGTGAAGGTATCATAGCAACTGCTAACTTCTAAAATAAATGCTGTTTGACAGCTGACAATGCACTGTTAAAGGAAATCAGATGCCAGAGAATAATCCATTAAGAACTGTTTCCTGAAAGCTTTTACATCTGAAAATCTTAGTGTTATATGATTTCATCTAAGCTTTCCCTTTACAAGGCAAAACTTGGGGTCAAGACTCCTTTAAACTCTTCTACTAAATTGTTCTACTAGGAAATAAGTGAATCAGTCATACTTTTTCATGAGAGGAACTGAAGCACATTTATACTTTTGTTATTTGGCTGGAGAGCTTAAATGTCAATGAAAAAAAGACAGAAGAAAAAAAGCCCCCCAAAACCCATCAGGGATGCAGCAGAGTAGAAGGGCTTAGATGGCTTGATATATCACAGCACTAGTTTTTCATTTCTGGAAATGCTGGTTCAAATCCTGAGCCAAAGCCCAAGTTTTGGTATGAAGGGGCATACTAGAGAAGAGATCGCCAAAGCCTTTGAAATAGCTGGTGGTCATTTGAAATGTGGTTCCATTGTAGGGGTTGGATGTAATGTACCCAGCTTTAAAGTAGAGTTACTATCCCTAAGGCATGAAAATATACTTATAAACCTAAATGCAAAAGAAAAAGAAAAAAAACCCATATGCATTACACAGGTAAAGAAGTTGAAAGGCTCTTATGTGCTTCAAGTGATTTCCTGGGCCACTGAAGTTAATGAGAAAACTCTCCACAATTTCAGTGGGCTACAGCCTCAGGCACCCATTAACTCTTTTTCTGTCAAATGCATTTAGCAGGTAAAACTTTCAGGCTCTCTTCATCAGGAGAGGCTATTATATTTACTGATGAATAAATAAATAAAGATAGAGCTGAGAGAGCAGATTCAGAAACCAATATTGTAGATCTTAAGAAATTGATGGCAGAGGGACAGTAGGGTCCCCCAAGGATCTCTGCTGCAACGTATGCTGTGCAACTTATTCATAAATGACCTGGAATCAGGGGGTGAAGTGGCAAGACTGCAGATAACAGAAAATTATTCTGGGCAGTCAAATCCACAGTGGAGAGTGAAGAGTCACAAACAGTGATGGCCTCCAAATTGGTCATTAACATGCAGGAGTGGGGAAAGAAATCTTGAAGTTATAGATAGTCTTTAAAAACATTAGTTCAACATACAAAATCAATCAAAAAGGCAAATGGAATGCTATGAATCATTAAGAAAGGAACTGAAAACAAATCAGAAAACATCCTCATGCCATTATATGAAGCCATGGTGCGCCCGCATCTTGAATACTGAATGTAGTTCTGGTTGCTGCTTTTCAGAAAAAATATGCATTAAACCTAGAAAAAATTTAGAGAAAAGCAAGAAAGACAATTGGGAGTATAGAACATCTTCCATATGAGGAAAGACTGGAAAGGTTAGGACTCTTCAGTTTGGAAAATAGTTGACTGAGGGGTGGTAGGATAGAGATCTATAAAACCACAAATGATGGGGGGGAAATAAATAGGGGACTATTTTTCACTCTCTCTCATAACAGAAAAACTAGGAGGATCTGATTAAATTACCAGGCAGCATGTTTAAAAGAAACAAAAGAGAAATTCATTTTTAAGCAATACATAATTAACTTATGGAATACATTGCCAAAGGCCACTGACAAGGCAAACAGTATAACTGAGCTCAAATAGGGTTTAGACCAATTTATGAAGGATATGTCCATCTGAAGCTATTAAACATAACAGTCAAGGATGCAGCCTCAGGCACAGAACAGCCCTAAACCTATGACCTTTGGCAGCTCAGAGTATATGACGGGATGGATCACTCAACACATGCCCCATTTTTATGCTCTTCTAAAACATCCACTTCTTTCTACTTCTAGAGACAAGATACTGGACTAGACAGACTTTCACTTTGACCCATCATGTTCTTACACCTTTGAGTTAACAGAAACTCCAATTTGTTGACAGCAAGCCAGTTTTCTTTACATCAAAGAAATGCTCAGAATGATTTTTCTAAATTAGTATGATTTCCAAATAGTACTGCTGGTAGGGTTGGTCTCTCTCATGTTGTAATAGAAAAATTAGCAAAAGAAGGATTTAAAATAAAAGAATCTGCAAAGCTTCACTCACTTAAAATTAAAAATAGACTGCTCTCCTATAGGGAGAACAGAAATTCCTCACTCTCTATCTAGCAAAACTACAGAGAATTCAGCAATTCACACCAAGACCAAATTATATCAACAGATCAATAAATCAAGAAAA